ATTAGATCTACGTTTTCTCTAATTGAACATACAACATGAACAACAATGCATAAACCCTAGATCTCTAGTATATAATCGAAAATACACAAACAAGGGTTATGAAACATACCTTTTATTGTTATGTAGTAACAACAATCTTGATCCAATTCTTAAGAAGCTTTGAGGCTAGCGTCACAATTGTCACGCCTCTAATGGCTCACGCCCAAAACTAGCTTGTGAAGAATGATTGTGAAGGAGGAGGGAGGTGTAAAATTTCAGCTGGATCACTCTAGGAACAAGTGGCCAAAAATCATAGGGTTCCACCCCTATTTATACTTCATTCAGGAAACTCTAGATAAGCCCAAATCCAAGATTATCTTAAACCGGGTAATTATCTAATTCCTTGATTATCCATTAGATATTATTCTAGAATTCTTAGCCTCCAAGAAACCGTCCAAGGCTCTATGGAGGGTTCTATATTGTCTTTTGCTCAACTATTGAACAATTACAATTCAGTCTCTGTGTAACACCTGGAATCCAGAAGGCCAATTAAGGAAAGAAAAATCCTAAGTCAAGAGGTTTACTCGTCGAGTCCGGGGGGATGACTCGACGAGTAGAAGCGAGTTTTGGGACGCGGGTTAAGTGACCTACTCGACGAGTTGGAATACCAACTCGCCGAGTTGGTATGGGTTTGGGAAACCCTAAATTCGGGCTTTTGTTCCCTATTTAAGTATCTTATTCTCCTCCCATCAGCCTCATTTCCAGCCTGCACTTCCCAAACCCTAATCCATAAAACCCCTAGTGCATTCCATGAGCTTGTGAGCCATTTATGAGTGTTCTTGAGTGCTTGGAAGCTTGAAGAAGAAGGAGAAGCCTTGGGGATACAAGAAGAGGCTAGTAGATCCAAAAACCTCTTGCACTCCTCATCATTTCCTGGTAAGAAATTTCCAACCTTGATCATTATGCACTTAGATATCTTCTTTGCCACTCTATGAGGGTTTTTGGTCTAAGTATCCTAGCATGTGAAGAATGGACGTCCCAAAGGCTTATATTTTCAGATCTAGAGCCATTAAGGGCTTTATGGCATAAAGGTGCAAACTTTATGCCATAGGAGTCCCCATGCAAGCAATAGAGTGTTCTTTTGGCCTCTTTAGCTCAAAAGGCCATGCATGGAAGGAAAAAGGCAGGAGATTTGCATGGTTATGAGATGTTTGGGTCCAGATCTATGTTTGGATGCATTACTTTGGTGTATGGTTGGCTTGTGGACTAAGATCTAGGCCCTTAAGAGTCAGGGTTTGATTTATATCCATTAAGTGAGGGTATTAACGGGTAAAGTTTGAAACTTTACCTTTCTAAGGTCATTTCCAGAGTGTATTCGAAGTTTGGAGCTTAGATATGAAGAATAGTGGCTTAATCCATTAAGAAAGGCTTAACAGACTAAAGAACTCGCCGAGTCCGGGGAAGGACTCGACGAGTTAAGTTGGTTTGTCCCGATTATATATAGAAAGAATTCGACGAGTATGTGAAGGGGTTCGATGAGTTGGTTCGTGGTTTTGCGACTATGAGTAGCATGGGAACTCGGCGAGTCAGGGGGGTGACTCGACAAGTTGAGTCAACTCGTAGCGTTGACTTTTACCGTTGACTTTGACTTTGACCTAGTTTGACTTATGAAGGCATTTGGACAAGAGTATGTGAGGGGTGGAATGGTCTTCTACCCCAGTGAGGACTTATGGTTAAGTTATAAGAATCCCGGAATTATCTAAGTTGTATGATGATCGGTAGCTCAGGGAGTCGAGAGATCGGCAGTCTAGGGATCTGCCAGCTAGCAGCAAGGGGTTTATTCACGGGATTCGGCAGTCAGCTTGTGAGGTGAGTCTCCTCACTGTTTGTATGGGTCTACGACCACAATTCCAACCCATTTAGTTTATGTATGGTAGAAAGACCCGGGGGTTAGCCCTAGGCACTATGTATGAAAGACCAGGGGGTGGCTCCTGGCACACAGTATGCTATTATGTATGATAGGAAAACCCGAGGGTTAGCCCTAGGCAATATGCATGAAAGACCAGGAGGTGGCTCCGGGAACACTGTATGCTCATTAGCTAAGTAGAGTAGTATGTATGCTAGTTGTCTTTGTGATACTTGCATGGAAGACCAAGAGGCGGCTCCTGACACTTATCTGTAAGACCCAGGGGGTGGCCCCCAGCTTGGCAAGAAAGACCACATGGCGGCCCATGACATAACATCAAGACTATGTGCGGCACATAGCACCTTATTTGATATATGATTGATATGTATGGCTCACAGTATGTATGGCATGTATGGCCCAGTTGATATGTATGGTATGTGGTATTTGGGGAACTCACTAAACTTCGTGCTTACGGTTTACAGTTTTGGTTTCAGGTACCTTCAGTTTACAAATAAGGAGCCCGGGACGATCACAACGCATTCACCCATATTATTCCGCATTATGTGATCTTTGGGATTAGACTCTGATAATTGTTTTAACTGAAACGTTTTCAATGTTTGGGACAAAGTTATTAAGTGTTTTCTTATATTAAAAACGAAATTTTTGGTCTTAAATTTTGGGATGTTACACTCTGTACTTTAATTAATTCCTTTAATCCCAAAATTAATTCCAAATTAATTTCTGATTAAATATTAATTAAATATTACTATTTCAAATTAATATATTATTCTCATAATATATTAACAAATCATTTATTTCAATTTATTAATCAAATTAATAAATTAACCTCCTTTCTCCAAAATCATCATGTCCAATTGCTAGTCTTGAGGACAACCCAAAAGGATTATGACACTATCAACTCAAGTATATACCAAATATAGTTATAGGCTTAGACACCTAATCCAACAATAGCATGCCATGAATTAATCATAATAATAATTCACTTTATGATTACATAATGAAATTGGGGAGGTGTGTGCTTTGCCCATGTGAGAGAAATTAATTAATTAATTAGTTAATCAAATAAAAAAGGGAAAATACACATAGTGGGGTTAAAATTATTGTAACCTAACATAGGTACGTGCCATTACAGGATATCGTCGTGGAAGGATATCGTTGGAGGAAAAGAGATTAAGAAAAGTTGATGTCAAATGGTTTTCTAGTTGACCATTTCGAGACATGGTCCGGGTGCATGTTGGTGTATTGAGATTGTAGTGATGTTGGCTACTTGGAGACATCGGATCAAGCATCACGTTTAGGTGTAGGTATGCTCGTGGAGGTACCCGATACCACCCTAGAACGACAACGTATCATGCTCATCATGCAAATTCAGAGTAACGAAGGTGGAGAACTAGGGACCGTGTTATAGGTGGGAGTCGCGCCCCATTTGGTGCACTTGGTCGCCAGTTCACGTTAGTAGTGAACATGGTCTTTACTTGGGGAGTGTTAGTGATGAAATAGAACTAGTTAGCAAGGGACATTAAAAGTAATCATAGCAAAACAAATAAATAAATAATTATTGCGATGGAAGAATATCAAGATTAATGTATATACGTATATGTTAATGTTAATCGATGTATGATGCATGGATTGATGTGATTACACGACTTGACATGATGTATTTGTATGTTTTGTTTCCATGCTTATGTGCTTGAGATTGACTCATCGTGTTGATGCTAACACTTGTTTCTTGCCTGTTCTTGTGGCTTTTGCATTGGTATAGGTAGCTTGATTTTGATGGCCTGGTGAGGTTAGATCTTTTGGGGTAGTTATAGTCTTTGGTCAATAGGCGTGATACCAGTTTGAGACTTCATGTGATGTTTCTTTTAAACTTAGTTTTGATGTTTGTTTGGATTGAGTTTTTACAACTTTGGATTTTGATGGGTTGTTTTTGAAATATTTTCCTAATAAATCATTGATGATGTTTTCATAAGACTTCCGCTAACGTTTTTCTGATTATAATTGGTTAAAATAAAAACAAAAATTTTGGGTGAAAATCACAGTGTTACAGAATTCCCTTTAATCATATACACCTCGTTGTGGCCTTCAACTTGTTTCCTGAATCGATTACTTAGCCAAACATTAAAATCGAGAGAGAAATCCCCTTTAATCCCATACCCTTAATAACTACTCGACCCGATAGTCGAATCAATAATGAGAATTGCTCCTTGTTTGAAATCACTCTTCCACTTTGTATAAAATGAAATAAAATCAAGAAAGTCAGATTTTTTTTGGGTATTTTACAAGTCCTTCAGCAACTTGTATATGAAATAAGGTGTTGGATTGTGGCTTAACCTTTCAATTTTGAGAAGAAAAGAAGAAATGAGAATAGACTGCCATAGGAAGGTGAAGAAGATGACGAGATCCACCAATTTTCACATAAGAGTTAAACAAAAGGAAACCCTCGTCCTCCACTCGTTCAAAATTCACAATCTCTCCCCTTCCCCATACTCATCTTCTCAGGTTTCCTAACCCCCCCCCCCCCTTTCTGACGATTGAAAGTTTCTTGTAAATGAAATCCATCATAGTGAGCAATATAATCAAGAAACCCGCCAAAAAAATTTTATAGGACTCATCCTTCTCTGTCAACATGATTGTGCTTGTCTTGCACAACTTGGGGTTCAAGTGTTAGCTTAATTTCTACTCCTCAATACTCCAAAAAAAAACATGAAAGAAAGAGAGGGTAGAGGTGTGATCCATCTTTTTTATGTATAAAATACTAAAAAGGAAGAAAAAAATACATCATTAATGGTATTTTGGTCATTTTACATACATCTAACATTGTTTTCCAACGGTATTAATAATAAGGACATCCAATACAACATTTTCATCTCAAAGACCATGTTCAATATTTTATATTTTTTAGGGACTACAAAGACTCTTTATGTAATTTTGTCTTGAAATATATTGATATCTAATATAAAAATAATATATTATTTTAGCATATGTACCTTTCTATAAAAATCATGTGTATTTTAAAAAATTTCCACTTTATATCTTCTCAAATTTATGTCAAAGAATACGAAGTAGAAGTCAAAGGAGCAATTCCGGCCTCCGTCGTCTCACAACAACCATTAATTTCTTAATCAAATAGTTTGTATATTTCTGAACACGCCATACACACACAAAAACACACACACACACCAAGCCAAATTTGATTTCGAAACTCCATCGAATTGATTGTGACAAAGAAGAAGAAACGTGGAATGGCTGTTACGCACGATTACCAATCGCTATGACCATCTTCCAACGCTCCAACCAGGAATCATCATTCTTCAATTCAATTGCAATCAATTTCCGATCAGAATTAACAGATATTCGTGGAGGGAATCGATGGATGAAGAATTGCCAGGGGCAATTGGAACAAGCGCAAGTTTAGCCCTAAGATTGGGACAAACCGTATTCTCTGTTGCTTCCCTCCTTTTCATGTGCGTCGGTGTTGAATTCTACGCTTATACGTCTTTCTGGTAATTCTTCGTCTCTACTTTCGATTTTCTGTTATTCATATCTGTTCCTTTCGTCCTTTAGCGCCTCAATAGTACCCAAATTATGAAGTTTAATTGGTATTACGAAAGCCATACTAGATGATCATCAAATGCCTTCTTTACCTTTTTCATTCTAATTCACCTTTTGTTATTAGTGGTTTGTAATCTGTATGTTAGGATGAGAAAGCTCAAAATTAGGCACAAATTTACTTTAGCAATCGAACACACGAGCTGTAGTCAACAAAAATTGTTATCATAATTGTGAAACAACCAACAATAGTTGATGCTTTGCAGGAATTTAAAGCTATGAAGCTGCATATTCTATCAGCCTTCAAGCTGCATTGTTTAAAGTGATATTTTACTATAACTTTTAATCGGTTTCTTACATTCTTGTCAGTTTTTTGGTGACAATCAAAGGGTTAACAATTCCATGGAGTTTAACCCTCGCAATGGTGGATGCATTTTCTGTATTTGTAAAACGACCTTCTCGCCAAATACAAATAGTGTCCATCATCGTTATTGGAGACTGGGTATGTCTGTATCTGTGTATCTGTATCTGTATTTGTATTTGAGATGCTAACTAATGGAAGATGATGATGACAGGTGTTATCATTTTTATCACTAGCAGCAGCATGTTCAACAGCAAGTGTGGCGGATTTCATGATTACAGAAGCTGGTGCATTTTTTTGTGGAAGAAAATTGTGTAGCAGATATCAATTATCTGCTGCAATGGCGTTTTTGTCATGGTGTTTGTCTATAGCTTCTGCTCTTTTTAACCTTTGGCTTCTTCCTTCTTTATATTAATTTGTAGATAAAAGTTTTGGGTATATGATTGTTATAGGTGCATATGGTAAATAAGTAAAAGAAGAAAAATGAGAAGGAAATCAAGAAGATGATTTTTTTTAATAGATTATCATTTAAGATTTATAGCACAAAAAGGGTATATGATTGTTATGTCTTCTTCAAGTGAATATATTTTTCTTTGTTTATGAAATGAAATCGCATGCTTTTGGAATGTGTTTGGCGTTGGGCTTTTGAGAGTTTTATGTATCTTGCTTTTAGGTAATTTTATATTTTTTAATAACTTTTAGAGAAACTTTTTGTCAAACATTTTTCGACAAAGAGAAGCTATATAAATACTTACAACTATTTTTATATCTAAGGTTATTGTTTATTTATTGACAAAATTTCAAAATGATCCATGTGGTTTTGAAAAGTGGCAAGGTGAGGACAATTTTTAAAAATGCTTCAAATGTGGATATGTGGTTTCGAAAAGTTGCAAAATCTGGTATTTTTTAACATTCTACTAGTAAAGTTGGGTTAAGTATAAGTGTGACAATCATGTCGTATTTAGGTTGGTGAGTCGTGGGTTGGTGGATTAGAAAGCTCAACCTGGACACAACTCATACAATTGATTGTGTCGTATTGTTCAACCCTAATCTGGATATATCAAACCCAGATACGACCTGCATAACCCGTTTAATTATACGGGTTCGTGGGGTCAAAATCGAGTTTGTTGGTTCGCAATTCACTTTTTTAAATCCTAATATAGTGTTAAGTCATAAGTACCAACCAAAATCAGAGAAAAAAGAAAAGATTTAGAGGTATAGTCTGAAGTCATGTTCAAGATTTATGGTAAAATGCAAATACACAAAATTTGAGAAAAGAATTAAAGAAATATTAAAAAATCTATTTTTAATACTAATATAATATAAGGGTTGGCGGGTTGACCATCAAACCGTAACACCCGTTTCTCAGGTACTTTTCATTCGTAGTTTTAAACATAAATTTCTTGCAAAAATGGTCCTTACGTTGGGCGTAAGTAATAAGTACGCGGGGAATAGTTCATTAAGCGCATGCGAGGGTTGCATGCTCTACACGGTGTGTAACTCCATCTACGCAGGGCGTAGATGCGTAGTTGCCAAACCCTAATTTTTAGGGTTGAGACCCTATTTAAACACCTTAAGTCCCTTGAGGCCTCTTCATGCTCAGCCTCCACTCTCCCCAAACAGTTATTTCGAAACCATAATCCTTTGTAAGCTTGTTTTGAGCCTTTTAAGTGTTTTTGGTGCATTTTAAAGAAGGGAAAATCTACCATATTGGATTGGTGTGACTCACGCTTGAAGATCCAGAGCTTTCATCCCTTTTGCTATCTTATAGAGGTATAAATTTCTCACCTTTATGGTTTTATGGCTTAGATCTAGGTTAGATTCTTGATTTGCATGCTTTTGGTCGCATAGTTTTGGTTCTAGTGAGTAAAAGTTACTCCAAAGCTTAAGGTTGTCATTTCATGTTGTTTCTAAGGATCACATGTCATAAAAAATGAAACCATTGTGGTTATCTTTCACCCATGCAAGGGTTTCATGAGGTCATTAAAGAATAATATAGATCTAGGGTTTGGTTTTGGGATCCATTAAGCCATGCAAAGGCATAAAGTCAGGAACTTTATCCTTTTATATGTCCATTAGATTCAGATATAAGTGTTTTACATTTGGTCTTAAGCTATTAAGGGCTTAATAAGGAGGTTGGAAAACTACGAGGTTGCACATGGCATAAACCTGGCTACGCAGCTCGTAGCCTGTCTTGGCCCCGTTTTCTGTGGAAAAGGTCTACACATGGTGTAGAGAAGAAGTACGAATACGTAACCCCGGATGAGGAATTTGTCATTTTTTAGGGCTTTAGGCCATGTTTGGAAGGGACTAGCTTTGGAAGGGTAAAATGGTCTTTTAGCCTAAACAGAGAAAGTATGTAATGGACCATTGATTATGATTATTACCCTAATTGTTAATTAGGTTTGGTTTTGATATGTTTAATGTGAGGAGGTTCGTCGACCAATAGCTCAGGTGTGAGAATTATCTGTTATCGATTGATGTGAGTCTCTTCACTATACTTGTAGGTCAAAGACACCAATATCGGCCCATCGGATTATGTTTATATGATGCTAGCTATCTTTGTAACTCTTGCATGTGTTTGTATGTATATTTGGGCAGGGACCACTATATATGTTGGGCGGGGCCCACTACATGTTACGGGCGGGACTGTTAACCGGGTGGGGCCCGATGAGTACTAGGAGGGGCCCGATGCCGGGTAGGGCCTAATGGATGCTAGGCGGGGACCGATGTATGTATGGTATGGGGTATTTTGGGGAACTCACTAATCTTTGTGCTTACGGCTTATGTTTATGTTTCAGGTACTTCCAGTTCCAAAGGGAAAAGCTCGATATGATTGCATTGCATCTACCGACGTTCCACATTTTATGACTTGTTTTGTGCTCTGATAACTATTTGATTCAATTCTATCCTTTGATGGGCTTTTCAAATGAAATAATAGTTATTTCGGTTGACTTAAAAAATAAAAAATTTTACTTGTTAATTTGGGACGTTTCAAGTTGGTATCAGAGCCTTGGTTTGAGGGATTCAGACACACTTTTGAGTGTGTCTGGACTCAAACTGAGGAAATGAAATTTTTTCAAAAGAAAATGATCTTCAAAAAATGGTTTTTATAAAGAAAATGGGTGTGATGCATGCAATCAGTCGAACTCAAGTAAGTGTTTCCCAAAATACCCATGCATGTTTATGTGTTTCAATATGTGTATATGAGTATATCATGCTAGATTAGGGCTACGGATCTGCTCAGAATTGCATGGTAGAATGCTATGAGAGATGCCTTTGTATGCCTGTTATATGAGCCTTTAGAACGTCATGCTAGCATGGATTACAGGCGATCGGATAGAGTGGCTTGATTAGGCAGTGCACTAGTTAGAACTCGATGCTTGAATGCTGCTTGATTTGTGATTTTAGGAACCACCATTAGTACTAGTTAACTATCAAGAGAATATGCTAGGTTACATGTTACATAAATTAGATAATTTTAGAATGTTAGGTTTAACTCTATTGCGCAACTCTTGTTTGAGTCCAACTGTTGTAGCATGACCTTGCAGTCAAAGAATTATCTAGTGTCTGTTACATGTAATTATATTCGCATGGTAGTGAGCGGGTGTTAGTGGGCGAATGTTTGGTAGTAAGGGAGTATCTTAGGGAAATCGGGGAGACCCTTAAGGAAAGTACGGATAGGTGTGGAAGGTAGTGTTGGGTCTGTACTACTGAAAGCATAAGATTTATACTCGAGTCAAGGGAAGTCACGAGGATACTATGGAACTTGCAGAGTGTGGAGATTCTTTGAGTGTTTTATGATGGTTGGTATTGTTTATTTTCAGTATGGTGGTCACTCGAGGAGGTTCTGGTTCTGGTGATGGATCGGGTTCAGGCTCTGGGGCCGACCCGAATGATAAGCAAATGCGAGAGTTCATCTCGTTTGAGATTACCCGCGGTATTATGGAGAAGACTCCTGTGATCTTCTGTACGATCAAGGAGGGGATTCTGGAGATTCTGGATGAGTGTTTGGGCGCATTCTGTACTGAGATGGTGGCTATGGTGGGAGCACACACTCTTACTTTTTGAGAGTTTCGTGTATATGGGGCTCCTGAGTTCTTCGGGAAGAAGGATCCCATTGTTAGCAGGAAATGGTTGGCGGACATCGCGAACGCTTTTCAGACTAGCTTCTTCCTCGAGGGGTTGAAGGTCAGACTTGTATCATGTCTTTTGAAAGACATAGCTTGTGATTGGTGGGAGGAGGTAGGTCATGCCTATTGCCTTGGGAGGTGAGGCTGTTGAGGTAATGGATTGGGATAATTTTGTGATGAGATTCAGGGCTGAGTTTGCACCGGTGATCGAGGTTCAGCAGATGGCGAGGGAGTTCCAGGACCTTTTTCAGACTACTGAGACTGTGGAGGGATATCACCGCCATGTTCAGTGAGAGGGATTTACTGGTTCTGCAGTATGTGGCGGACGAGGAGATGAAGAAGGCAAAGTACCATGATATAATGAAGGATGAGATACGGGAGTTTGTGAGCATGTCCAGCTGCAAGACCTTGGAGTAAATGACAGCGAGGGCCCGAGAATGTAAGATTGATTTGGAGACTGTGGGGGAAGAGGAAGTCGGTTCAAGCTCAGGTATCAGAGGGTCAGCAAAGAAGTCTGATGTTTTTGATACTCGATCGAGGGACCAGTAGGTTCAGAGCCGTTGTGGCAAGTGTGGCAAGACGCACGAGGGTGTTTGCAGCGTGAGTAGTTCTGGCTGCTTCAGGTGCGACAAGACTGGTCATTACAGAAGGGATTGCACCACCACTACCACCACCTAGGGACCGAGTCTGATTTTTTTCCATTGCAATTAGAGGGGCCACAGAAGGCCGACTTCCTGATTTTGACAATGCGAGCGGTGGTAGCACCCGCTCCAGCGACATTGAGGATCACTAACGGTCGTCATGGTAAGGTGGAGGCACAAGTTGTGAGGATTCGAGCATTCCAGCTGATAGACGAGGAGGCTCGTGTAGCACCTGATATGGTTACGGGTAAGTATCTTATCTTTATCTTATTTATCTTCTTTATTGTTTATGCTTATTGTGTATGCTGCATTATAGGGACGTTACAAGTGAACGGTATTCCGACCTTCGACCTTTTTTATTCGGGCGCCACCTGATCATATGTGTCTCTTGCTCTCAGCAAGAGATTTGATGAGGCTCCGGGAGAGCTTGATTATCTGTTAGAGGTTGAGATTTCCAATGATCGTCCAGTGAGAGTGTCGAGGGTTCATCGGGGTTGTCTTTTGGAGGTATTTCGAGAGAGGTATCTGATCGACTTAGTTCCTATTTCATTGTACGAGAGCAAGGTTATCGTGGGGATGGATTGTTGAGCCCTAATGGGTCAATGATCGATTGCGAGCACCAGTTAGTTTGGGTTCGAACCCCAAGTAGGGGAGAGCTAGTTATCCGTGGTGAGGGTGCTTAGCCAGGACCAACTCTCTGTTCAGTCGCGAGAGCTAGGAGGTATCTTTAGCATGGTTGTTCTGGTTTTGTGGCTTATGTATTGGATACCAGAAAGGAGGGGAAGATGAAGATTGATCATGCGT